TTATTTTTTATTTGTGCTATCATTATTAATTTCTTTATTTGTTCTTATTTTATTACTGACTGCTTACTTGTCATTTTTTATTCAATTCAAAGTTTGAAATCAAGCTATCTCATGCTACTGCACCAAAATCACCCCACTGTAAAATTTAAAAAACAATTTGAGCAAAAAGAGCAAAAATTTGTGAGATAGCTAGTTATAATGGTAATTAAATCATGTTTACATATGTATAAAAGCCTAAATTAAAATCTGTCATATAAATTGGTCTCTTCATTAGAAATTAGCCTACTGATTGCCACCATTGATGGACAGTTTTTTTTAATAATATTAAAAATATCTGTATGACATTATATTCTGCAGTTCTTCCCTGTTGTACCGAATATCTATACTTTTCAAATTATCATATCGAAGTTAGAAATTCAAATATTGTGACAAAATTTATTTTGTAGGGTGCCACAAGTTTGTTAAAATTTCCAAAGGGTGCCGCGACTAAAAAAAGGTTGGGAAACACTGGTTTAGAGAAATATATTTGAAGCCACTCAATAAATCATTGCTTTTAGGAAACACAGTGTTTGGAAATAGACTCCATGTATGGAGTTTCAGAATAACAACAATTTTAATGGATTGATTCTGAGTGAAAGTATCATCTGATCTCACATCATTTCTTTGCATCTCGGTCTCTTTTGGAGTACAATCCCAGCTGTAAATGAACCAGCTTTAGATGAAGTACAGCAGGCTGTTTTCCAAATGGACATGTCAGCTCTGCAGTCAGTTCTTCTCTTTCCTGTAGAAAACCATGAAGGCTATTGACCATGACATGTTTAGACATACTTTAGTCATATGACTCTTAGGGTGAGGTGTCACCAGTGACAGAAGGTGGTCAATTAATGTAACTCTGTGATGTGTTAGAAATGTTTGAGGTAATCAAAGGACACTAGTAAAAATGCTTTTAGTTACATTTTATTTAATAGAAAATGTCACATTACAAAATATATTGTCATGTTAACACAATATGTTATCATACTTTGGGTAAAAAAAATTGAGAAATTTTATATGAATATCAAATTGTTTTAGTATTTGGTTTGTTCACCTTTTGCTTTAATGACAGCAGCACTTGAGCTGCATGAACTCCATAAGTTTGTGTAAAAATGATGATCGTGTTTATACAGCATGTTTTGAGATAATCTAAAGTGCATCTTTTTTGGAATTTTTAATAATCCTAAAACTTTAATTCCAGATTAAAAAATAAATAAATCAATCAAACTGCAAAAAAAATCAACTTAATCATTTTTTTGTCTTGTCTTTCTATAAAAATGACATCTTTAAAATATGAACATCATTAAAATAATATGAATTTATTTTTTTAAGTAAAATTGCAAAAATTATATATATGTATATATATATATTACCATTTGCTATTTTTCTTATTGACAAATTTCTTGTTTCAAATATTTTTTAATTTCAAATATAGTTTATGCTTATAACAATAAAAATAATTGCCAAAGGGTAACTAATAATTTAATATATTTTATCTTAATATCTTCTTAACCTGAAAATATGTGTGTAACCACTCGCCCCTGTGAGGTTCGTGGCCTGTGTGAGTCAGTAGTGTGTGTGTGCCTCCTCCTTGTCTGAGGTAAACCACACTACTGCCCACAGCCTTACTCACTCACGCTGAACCCTCCCGCTCTGACCACACACTCCCACATCCTAATCTGCTCAGGGTCAACAGTAGACAGACAGACAGCACAACAGATGACACAAGTCAAACAGGACATGGAGCTGATGTACTGACTTGAGTGTGTGAATTTCGTGCCTCAATAACCCTCTCTCTCTCATTCTTTCACAGATGGCAAACCCAGAAGGTGACCGTCTACCTCTCTCATGTTGGTGACCTTGATGATTTTGAAGGATCTCTGACTGAAGCTTTGGAGATAGAGGTGATAGGGGGCTGTATTTGGTGCACAGCAAAGACTGTTGTATGACAAAGAGTTTTAGCCCACAAATTTACACTTCATTTAACATTTTAGGTATCTGTGATACCTAATGCTGTCATTGTCATGTGATTTGTTAGATACTGTACAGTCATTAGGCATTTTGTTAGAGAAGGTAAAACAGGAAATGGAAGCTGCTGTTGCAGGAAGAAGAAGAGAGAGACTGTCGTTTGGGGTGAGGTAGTAGGTTGTATAGTTTGAGGGTTTAACCCTTGCTGTCAGATAACTATACAACTTACTGTCTTTCCCGAAGTGACCGTAGTGCCATCGCTTCAGAACATGTCACATGGAGGATGTCAACAGGAAAGAAGAAATTACACATTTCCAGGTTCCAGTATTAATGTGTTTATCTAAGATATGCTTGATGCAGACTTAAATGTTTATCAGATATTTACAATAAAAGAATTTAAAAACATGGTTCATGCCATACTGTCGGCGTTACCAAAAAACACTTCTGAAATTTGTGTTAGAAATGCATTATTGCAGCTTTGATTTTGCTGCATCACATGTTGGTCAAGCATTCACGTGAATCCATAAAGAGGACAGTATATGCAGAGAGTGACGATAACAATATGGCAATTTAAAAAAAAAAAGGACAAATTTTACATGATAGTGATGCTGTTGAACATCATTCATTCTGAAATCTCTTTTCTTTCTTGTATTGGCATATTTCCTTCTGAAACAGAACGTTTGAGTGGGGCATATTTTTAAATAGCCAATAGTCTTCAGTTACATCACAGTCATGACAGATTTTGATTGGACAAAATTCAATGTAGTGAAGCTTATCAATATTTGTGGAAGAAACAAAAGACTAAACTAAGGAATACAAAAGCATGTAGGTGGGTTCAAAGCTAACAAGAACTGCAAAACTTTGAAACAATGTCTATATAAGTATATATAATAATATAAAAAGGTATACATAGTATACTGCATTATTGATTAGAATTCAAAAGGTAAAAATGTGTCGTTTTGTTGTTGTGGAATATTCAGCAATGATGTTCGTACAGGGTGAGGTAGTAGGTTGTGTGGTTTCAGGGTTGTGTGTTTGCCCCATCAGGAGATAACTATACAACCTACTGCCTTCCCTGAAGGGCAGCAAAACATCACCAGACACAGTTCATCCACTCTTTGAAGAGTGATTTCCTTTCGCTTTTCTTAAATGTTTTAGTTTCCCAAGATTCTAATTATGATGATCTTGCCATTTATAGCTGCATGAGGATTTCATACAGCACAGGTGTGTAATACTTTAAACGAGAATAAAACAGTTTGATATTTCAAAGATTGCCTGTTTTTTTATTTGCCTCAAGCATGATATTGACGTTCATAATGGATAAAGGCAAAATAATCTCATAATAAATTAGGAATAAATAGTTCACTCAAAAATGAAAATTCTGATTGAGTGGGCAGAATTGTCTTCAAAATTTCTCATTTGTGTTCTTTAGAAGAAAGAAAGTCGTATGGCTTCGGAATGACATGAAGGTGAAATGACTAATTTTATTTTTGAGTAATAGTTCCCTTTAAGATTACAATTCCCATCATTCAGTGACATCCTTCATAAGGATGTGAGGAAACTATACGGCCTTGTGTTATTCCCTTTGTTTGTTATTAAAGATGCAGTGCAGAGGCAGACAGAGTGCTTCTGCCAAGGTAGCTTGTATTGTAAATAAAACATGGCCATGGCTCCAGACGGCCATTAGCCGATGTTAACAACTACAGGGCTGTAGGCAGGCTGACCTTTCACTGCTGCACAATTTATGGGCACTGGCTGGCAGATCTCCACAGGAGCGCCCCTAGACTGGCACTCACAGGAGAGGAATAGCAGTAAGGGCGGACAGAATGTGACGGCCATGTCACCTTGAAAAAGTTTAGTTTCTTTGGAAACAGGTGTTATGCATTCTTATTATGTCAGCATTACCTGGGGGAGTGCAGCACTGTTAGTCTTACTAAACTACTTTGTTATGCACATCACCGTAATCCACAGAGGATAAGCATTTAATATTATTCCCTTGAGACCACATCAGTTTTTCCCCTTTTGAGTCCTCATGAGCTTTTTTTTTTTTACTCAACGACACTATTAAACTAACAAGCCACTATGCAATAAAACTGTAATATCAGTGCGGATGGGTTTTAAATTAATTATACATAAAATGACCTACAAATTGATTAAAAATGTTAATGAATAGTATTTGACAACAATGTAGTTACAAATGTAACAACAGAAATTAATTACAGAAAGGTATTTTTAAATGTAAGTACAATGTAAAAACATGCATGTACACAGTAAGTGCGTTGTACCAAATTATTAATTTAAATGAAGGTACATAGTAGTTAAAAACCATTCAAATAGATTTATAATGTTAATTTTGGGGGTCTCGCGTGAGGCTTGGGGGGGTGATATTCTGATTCATTTCAGAACATCATCAGTAGGTGGCAGCAAAGGTGCGTTATTGTCACATTGTATTAACTATTAAAAAAAAAACGAATAGGTCGCTAAGTGAATAGGTAACTAAACATACTTTAAGACAACATAGGCCTACGTAATATTAATTATTTTATAATTAATTATATTAAGCAATATGGCGAAATATTATTCAGGCGCATAAAATAATACCATCATCATCTCAATGAGATCTGTTGCTCAGCTACGCGACTTTAAACCGGTGGGCGTGGCTTTCCGTCTAAAAGCCTGCGCCGATTGGCCGAATCCATAGGTGTGTGCTGTCGCATCCGGAACGAGCGAGCTCGACTGCTGTCAGAGTGGTTTGACAGCAGTGTTTGCGGTGAATTTTAAATAGGACTGTTGAGGAGTACTACAGCCTCTCTCGCACCACCGAGCTGAGTGTTGGCAGTGTCACAGAGCCCGTGTGTTTTACTCCTGCCTGCATGGCGGCCTGGGATTGGGAGGTAGACGCGCAGCTCTTGTAAACAACGAGCTTGTGTAACATTATGATCATGTTTTATCCGGTTTTATGGCCGTAATTACTGTAAGCGTAGGCTTTTAACTGGAGCAAAGTAAACATTCACATAAGAACACATGTCTGTGCTATTTTCACAGAGAGAGTCTTATCACATACTCTGTAAAGAATAATACATGCGCTTGCTATAGTTTATCAAGATTTAAACTCTTGCTGCAACCAAAGCGAAACTTTATAGCTACACTTACATGCGCTCGGTCGATCTTTAAAGCTTGCAGATTCAGTCACTGGCTTGGTTTAGTTAGTTAGTTAGAATGTTATAGTGATATGATATTATGTATCTTTATTAGTTTATATACTGTATATATATTCATTCCAGTGTCAACTAACGTTAATGTAATGTTAACTAACATAATCATGCACACGCGTGTATCATTTATATATATATATTTTTTTTTAATACTCTTGTAATAGTTAAACTCAGTTAAATTTTGAATTCTTTTGGTTTAGGCTTTATCTAGGCCTATGAATTCAAAATTCTAATGTAACTATGAATGAACAGAGATGAATCTCACACTTAGCCGTCTAAAATATTCACTAGTAGTTTGGGAGTTACCTTGATTAACCTTTGTAAGCATTTAAGGAGCAATAACATAAAAGTACTTTAGATATTACATTTAATCTAATATTCACAAGTCAAATTTAATGTTGTTTGTTATAAAAATATTGCCTTTATTTTCCATTACAGTTTGTACATTTAAAAGATTTTATGAGGAATATGTCGCACTTGACTAGAAAATGTAAGTTTTTGTGATAAGTCATCTGATCTGTGCAGATGTGTTATTTTAGTATCATTGGTATACTATTATAGTTTGTAGTCATTATATGAATATATACGGTGAAGAACATTATGCAGGGCAAGCATGATGGAGCCTATAGAATGGAGTTATTTATATGCCCCTAAAATTCAAAAGATTGGGCAAACTGCCCATGTATGAGTTTTTGTCTCATATTTATATTTTATGATGTAGTTAAGCAATACTACACAAGTGCTGTTTTGTCCCGGATAGCACAAGGGCAAATGTGATATTGATTTTATACAACATTTAAATAAAAAATAATTTAATACTGTGTTATATTTTAGACACAATATTGTCTGTTTTTGCTAACACAAATATTACCTATTAAAGCCACAGCAGAACTGTTGTGCTTCTCCAAGCAACACACAATTTCAAAATTTGAACTAATCAGGTAAACCAATGATTTAATGACCCTTTCATAAAGAGAGCATTTGCTTCATTCCTGAATGAATCAGCTGTTTGAACAAATCAAATGATTAAATGACTCAGTGACTTATTCATTTAGACATTTACTGCCACCTACTGGCAGTTTTAGTTTCTTACTTAGATTATCATTTCAATGAAAAAATAATTTCATATTTACACATTAATACGAACAATTAATGAAGCATTGCGGATTTCATTAACCTTGAAATTATATGACGTCATTGTGTGGGCTCTGAGAGTCTCATTCGAGATGTCAGTTTATGAACAGTTAAATTACATTTTATATAATGATATTCACATTTTACTTTAGTTATTTGATGCATCTTAGAAATCTGATTCATAATATAGTGTGTATGCAGGAGCCCTAATACACTTTTAGGCAACTTTGAAAGTAGCTCCCTTAAAATTAAGTAATTTTATAGCCTGTTTCATAGCATAACTTATCTCTGTGGCCAAGTTTCTTTCACCCTATTGGCTTTGTGAAACACTTTTGATTATCATATATCATCTATAAGATTAGATTAATGCAGATTTATGGAGTGATTGTCATATTTAATTTGTCGTAACACAGACACAGACTTTTGGCCATGACTGTATCGGCAGGTTAAATGATAGAGAAACATCTGGCCTACATGGATGCACCTGCTTCAATTGCCCCATGTTTGCATTTCATAGTCCATATGAAGCCGTCTGCCTTGACTTAATGCTGAGTTGTCTCTCTGTAGGCTGAATGTACTAAACAGGCAGGATGTTTCCTGGGAGTGTGGAACGAAGACATTCCTGACCTATTATTGAAATCCCAGCGGTTTCGATTATAAATGCATCCATCCAGACATTAAGATTCTCTTATCTGATGCGTTCAGCTCGCTGCGGCGTCCGTTTGTTGGTGTAACGCCAGCCAAACTCCTGAACGGAGAGAAGCAGGCATGCAGGGTGTGTGTGTGCGGATTCGGACTTTGGCCCTGGAAGGGGTGCGTGTATTTATTGGCAGCTGGTAGAGCAGAACCGTGAATCGTGATCTGGTAAGCACTGATTTCATTCTGCTTTGCTCTGCGCTTAGGTGATGATTCGAACCCGGTTGGTTTGTAATTGTTCTGTCCGCTTTAAGCAAAGGCCTCACAGCCATTGTGAAAAGTGAAGTAGTTCTCTTTTGTGCAAGGATATGTTTTTTTTTTGTTGTACCTATATTTTAATCGGTGGCAAATAAGAGTGATTTTAAACTTTCAGTTTTAAAGACGTTTTTATTATTTACGTTTTGAAAAACTTTTTAGCATTTTTAAGAAAAGTAATTCCCTTACACTTTTTATGCATGCAAGTGTTTACATTTTGATCATTATTTTCAAAAAGGTTTTTAAATATATTTTTCAAGGTAAAGTTGTTATTATTAATTCATGAACATAATTACGGTTTTGGAGAGTCGTACCATGTTACATTTTACAACCTGAACAGACTTAGTCAGATTGTCATTTTAAGAGACTTGTTGACCTTGACACTCAATCATGAGGGTCTTCAGGGGTCCTTTCTGAATGATCATTTATTGTCTGCATTTTTTTGCATGTCAGTTGCATCATTAGACTTTCATTTAGAGACAAAATTATAATTACAAAATATTCTGAGAAATTCTAAGAAATAATACTTTAATAATAATAACAACAACAATAATTATTATTATTTAATAAATAAATAATTAATTATTTAATTAGTAATAAATAATTGCAAATAATTTTTTTAAGAATTAAATTATTTTCATAAATATTTTTTCTTCATGATATCGGGACAAGTTGTAATTATACTTTGTACCCACCAAAAATAATGAAATTAATTTTAATTCAGAAATTAAAAGCATGCTTATCACAGAAAAGGTGTATTTAAGATGCACTTTAATGCATTTTAATGCATTTTGAGTAATCAGTAGATCCAAAAAAAAAAGTCATGTCATTGACCTTTCACCAACACTGAGCAAATAGACTTGTCTTTATTTTTGCCAAGTAGTCTTGACCCACATCCAAACTGGAGAGATTTATCCGTTGCACATGCTGCTTGGAAGATGTGCATTTTATCATGCACTGAATCAATATTTCTTTCAGAAACAAACACACATGGTCTGTGGTCACAGATTAATCTTTATACTTCAGTTCTGTTGTTTCTATCCGGTGGGTAGAGATTCTGCTTGGTCATTGGTAGTTGGCTGATGCAGTGGAAATTTCTACACAGATGTGTTTGCTTTACATCTGTTGCCTTATGCTGTTTTGCAGCGAGTCCAAGGCTGATTCTGAAGTAATGATGGGGAGCACATGATCAGTATGGCCTGTCTGTAAAACACTACTAAGTTTTTGGGATAGGATTAAGTACGTTGACATTCATTGTCTTGTTGTGGATCTAAACTACCCCCTGGGACTGCTGTATTGTTATTACACGGTCAAACCGGACAGTCGGTAAAGATCAAGCAGGAAGGAGGGGGTAAATCAGCCTGTATTGGTTTCCCAGTCCTGTCAGCTGTGACCCTCCACAACAGGCCTCCTCCTCTTCAGCACGTAGGCTATGAGCGTGTGTGTCCTTCTCTAGCCAGAATGAGAAACACGCAAACCTTGCACTGCAAAAATCATGTTATTACCAAGCATTTTTGCAGGAAAAATTTCTAAATTTAATTAAAACAAGATACATTTACTTGACAAGCTAAATGACACAAGAAATATATTTTGATTGAGAATTTTATCAGTTTTAATGTTTAGTTATTTTGATACCATATGCAGATTTATATTGTTTTAAGGATATTTTGATTATTTTTCTTTACAGCAAAATAAGACAAAATATACATTTTTGTACAGCCGTCTCGTGACTCAGTCTTGTTCTGTTTATTTAATAGGACTCATTGAGGATTCCTCTCGTGCATTCATATGTGTTATTGTTCGGCTCTTGTTTTGTAATCTGCACTCATCAATGGGTATAACATCTGTTATGAACAAGGAGGTGTTGAATCCTATGCATCCGTTGGGATATTTGGGTAGAATTGATCGTAGTTTGGAAGCATCTAAGGTTTGGTTCTGCTGGTTAATGGCTCAGCCGGTCTCCATGGGCACATTTCCATTACAGCAGAAACTGGCGTTTCTCCTACACTTCGCTTGGCTCTCACTCGTTGTCATGAGGCTCAAGTCATGTGAGTGTCTGGGTTTACACTGAATAAATATAGTAGCTTCAGCTTATCGCTCTCTGTCTCGCACCCTAATACACAATTACTGTAGGTACACAAATGTAGTCTCACTCACTCACTCACTCAAACAAAGAAAAATATTCTTTTAAGGATATTTAGATGCACTTTTGCTTCTCAAGTAAATTTGAAGGATGTTTATATACTTTTACTGGAAAACAGGACAAAAACAGATGAAGAAAATTGAAGGTGTTTTGTTAATTTTCAAGCAAATCCATCTTGTTTCAAGAATATTTAGATGCAGTTTTGCTTCTCAAGTAAATTTTAAGCATGCTTTACTAAAAAACGGGGGAATTACGAAGATTTTTTTGCAGTGTAGTAACTAATATGCAGTCATTATGGCAGTCTGTATGTTTCTCCAATAGGAACGCTTGTCGCTTCACTTGTCTGTGCACGTTGTGTCACAAGCAGAATCAGGTGTGAGTCAGAAATGATTGCCGTACAGTTCTGAGAGAGCGGACGGCTGTGTACGTTGACCGAAGGATCACGCTGAGCTCAGGTTTCAGCTGCAACAGCTGGAGACAAACAGATGTGAACAGCCGGGTAAGTTTTTTGCTGTTCTGCTTCGGCCGAATCCACAGAGTAGAGAGATCAGGTTTAACTTTAGAAAGCTGGATGGCTTCCCCTCGCAGACAGAGCTGGAAACTGGGATTCTCTGCCAAGAGCTGATTTATGACGGGATTCGGCAGGAACATCTTGTCTACTGTCAGTAGTCAATGTTAGTGCAGATTTTGTCAGCTTTTTAGCACGGGTCGGTCAGTACTGCTTTAATTAAAACAAGATACATTTACTTGACAAGCTAAATGACACAAGAAATATATTTTGATTGAGAATTTTATCAGTTTTAATGTTTAGTTATTTTGATACCATATGCAGATTTATATTGTTTTAAGGATATTTTGATTATTTTTCTTTACAGCAAAATAAGACAAAATATACATTTTTGTACAGCCGTCTCGTGACTCAGTCTTGTTCTGTTTATTTAATAGGACTCATTGAGGATTCCTCTCGTGCATTCATATGTGTTATTGTTCGGCTCTTGTTTTGTAATCTGCACTCATCAATGGGTATAACATCTGTTATGAACAAGGAGGTGTTGAATCCTATGCATCCGTTGGGATATTTGGGTAGAATTGATCGTAGTTTGGAAGCATCTAAGGTTTGGTTCTGCTGGTTAATGGCTCAGCCGGTCTCCATGGGCACATTTCCATTACAGCAGAAACTGGCGTTTCTCCTACACTTCGCTTGGCTCTCACTCGTTGTCATGAGGCTCAAGTCATGTGAGTGTCTGGGTTTACACTGAATAAATATAGTAGCTTCAGCTTATCGCTCTCTGTCTCGCACCCTAATACACAATTACTGTAGGTACACAAATGTAGTCTCACTCACTCACTCAAACAAAGAAAAATATTCTTTTAAGGATATTTAGATGCACTTTTGCTTCTCAAGTAAACTTGAAGGATGTTTATATACTTTTACTGGAAAACAGGACAAAAACAGATGAAGAAAATTGAAGGTGTTTTGTTAATTTTCAAGCAAATCCATCTTGTTTCAAGAATATTTAGATGCAGTTTTGCTTCTCAAGTAAATTTTAAGCATGCTTTACTAAAAAACGGGGGAATTACGAAGATTTTTTTGCAGTGTAGTAACTAATATGCAGTCATTATGGCAGTCTGTATGTTTCTCCAATAGGAACGCTTGTCGCTTCACTTGTCTGTGCACGTTGTGTCACAAGCAGAATCAGGTGTGAGTCAGAAATGATTGCCGTACAGTTCTGAGAGAGCGGACGGCTGTGTACGTTGACCGAAGGATCACGCTGAGCTCAGGTTTCAGCTGCAACAGCTGGAGACAAACAGATGTGAACAGCCGGGTAAGTTTTTTGCTGTTCTGCTTCGGCCGAATCCACAGAGTAGAGAGATCAGGTTTAACTTTAGAAAGCTGGATGGCTTCCCCTCGCAGACAGAGCTGGAAACTGGGATTCTCTGCCAAGAGCTGATTTATGACGGGATTCGGCAGGAACATCTTGTCTACTGTCAGTAGTCAATGTTAGTGCAGATTTTGTCAGCTTTTTAGCACGGGTCGGTCAGTACTGCAACAGAGGGAAAGTGTTTTCTTTTTTTCTTTTAGATTGGCTGTGTTCGTCACTTGAAGGTAAAGTGTATTGTTGTTTCCTCCCAAAAACAGTGATCTGTTGCAGAAGGGCTTGAATGCGGAGTCTGGCATTGGTTAGCCTTCTCCATGTGACTGCTGTAAGAAATTAAAGGGTTGAGTGGAATGGCATTTGAACCGTTGTCCACAAGACCCCTTGAGCTGCCATAAAAATTCCCTCGAGAGCGTCTGAATCCTTTTGAGTGGTTAATTATTTTGTAGAGGATTTTTATCTCCTGCTCGCACTTGGAGCGTCCGGTGATATCAAGCAAGTGAAGCACATCAAAATAACTGCCATGCAACCCCTTGAAACTACTTAGCAGCCGCATAACAACACCACTCACGATTTCTTTGAAACATGTATAAATTGAAACCAGTTTGATTTTACACTGGCATATCTTTTACACCTAATCTTCATATGACCATAGTCGATGGAGCACTTGGTCTTTGGTCGGTCTCTTTAAGTTCACATGGCAGGACGAATGAGATCACATTCCTGTGATGAAACAGGCCAAAGCCTTTGAAACGCTCCCTTCATGTCTAAATAAAACGCTGCCATATCTGTGCCTGGGGTTTCCTTGGCAACCCCCCCTTGAACATGTTACTTATGCCACTTGTTTTAGCGTTGCTCTGAATGGAACTTCTTCTAGTCACTGTTTCACAGAGCACAGGCTGCAGTTTGCATACCAAGTAGATATTGAGTCTCCTTTTTTATCATCACAATCAAATAGTGCTGTTTAAAAATGATCAAATTAATAATAAATAAAATAACCATTAAAATAATAATAAAATAAAAGCTTTTATTTCTTTGTTTATGCATTGATATCGGGGCATTAGTCTGAAATAAAAATTATGAAGCTTTACATATGCAAAGGGATTTTTGATGACTGATCTATTTTGTGTTATTTTAGTATATTAATACTAATATAAATAAAAAAAATCAACATCATTTTTAAAATAAAATAACTCTTTTTTTATTTTAGTGTACATAAAAAGTCAATGCAAAACTATGAAAAATGATATAATAATAGTGGAAAAACAGCAAGTCTTTAAAAAAATTAATAATTGTTGAATGAATAAATGTTTTTTTTTTTTGCGTGTTTGCCTTTAAACCCAGTGTAATCTGTGTTGCGTCTTGCAGCCGTTTAAAAGATATGAAACATTTTCTTCACTCCGTTTTCACTTTACTTGCAATTGTTTGTCTTTGCAGACTGATGAATGATTCAAAGCTTGCCGTGGTCCAGCGCCATGGTAGACATGCCAAGCCTGTACAGTCCCTTGTCCCCGCTGGGCGATCCAATTCTAGACAGCCCTCTGTGTGGAGAGCTCATTGGTGACATGGAGGTGCTGGAGGACATCTCACAGTCCCTCAGTGACGATACCTTCAACTCCCTTCACGTGCTGGACTACCAGAGCAACAACACAGCAGCAGACAGCTCAACTGGCTTAGGTAGAGCATACGGACACACACACACACACACACAATCCTAACCAATCAGGCCCCTTAAAAAATTGTTAAAAAATTAACACTCTAATGGTAAAGAATTAAATACCTTTGCATTCATCTTATGGTATATAAACACATTTGGACACACTTGTCAGTTTAAGCTTAAAATTAGTTCTTCAAATGATGTATATTATTATTTTATATTATACAATTTATAACAAATTACATTTGTGCCTTTAAAAATTATGTTCATGTTGTGTAAAAAATAAAAAATAATGGTCACACTTTATTTTAAGGTCCAATTCTCACCATTAACTACGACTTTTGCCTCAATAAACTCCTTATTTGCTGCTTATTAATAGTTAGTAAGGTAGTTGTTAAGTTTAGGTATTGAGTAGGACTAGGGATGTAGAATATGGTCATACAGAATATGTGCTTTATAATACTAATAAACAGGCAATATGTTAATAATAGGCATGCTAATAAGCAACTAGCTAATAGTGAGAATTGGTCCCTATACTAAAGTATTACCAAAATAATCATAAAAAATATGTTGTGTCAGTGTAAATATATATATGTGCCCATGGGTGTGTTTGTCTTGTAGATGTCTTAACACCAGCGTCTAGTCCATCCTCAGAAGTGTTTGCGTCCAGCACGGTTCAGGATGAGAACTCTTCTGGTTCTCTGGCCCTCGAGTGCCGCGTCTGCGCCGACCGGGCCTCTGGTTTCCACTATGGAGTGCACGCCTGCGAAGTGCAGAATATGTGCTTTATAAGTACTAATAAACAGTCAATATGTTAATAATAGGCATGCTAATAAGCAACTAGCTAATAGTGAGAATTGGTCCCTATACTAAAGTATTACCAAAATAATCATAAAAAATATGTTGTGTCAGTGTAAATATATATATGTGCCCATGGGTGTGTTTGTCTTGTAGATGTCTTAACACCAGCGTCTAGTCCATCCTCAGAAGTGTTTGCGTCCAGCACGGTTCAGGATGAGAACTCTTCTGGTTCTCTGGCCCTCGAGTGCCGCGTCTGCGCCGACCGGGCCTCTGGTTTCCACTATGGAGTGCACGCCTGCGAAGGGTGCAAGGTAAGCTCGCACGCAATGCACACAGTGGAAAATTCTCACACGAGTGCCAAGAGTCAATACCAAAATGCCAACTTTTTCCTGCTTTGCATTAGTTAAGACACTGTGTTACACTTTCATAACCACAAACCTATCCGGGACAGAAAACACTTGAGCGCACACACCAGGGTCAACAGAAAGCACACGAGTTTCTGTAGTATTTTCATAGCTGCTTTTGCAAAAAGACTAAGAGTTCCCCCGAGGCTTGTTCTCCCTTCGTACATGTGAGGTGAAGCGTGTACAAGAGCTATTGCTTCATGCGGTGCATGTCAAATTGATCAGTAGGACTGCACACAACACACCCCAGCTGACTTGAGCCTGGGTCACGGCCGTTCTCATTCCTTTAAAGTTAACTACTACCAGCCCAGTTATTGCACTGTGCCATGTGTTTTTCTCCAGCAAGAGCAGACTTTGACCGTTGGCACCCCTTAGGGTGCAATTAAGACAGGACAATTGCAACGAGGTTTAGTGCGGTTTACCACTCTTTCACGTTGTACTTTGGTGAGACCAATTAAAATATGCTTTATAAATAATTTGTTTTAGTTAATAGTTATAGTTAAGCTTGTTTCAAAATTAAATGCTAATTAAAACTATTTCCGAGAATTTAAAGGAACACTATCAGTATCAGTGTGGACCGACTTAGTTCCTTATTTAGTTCAGGTCACTGGTTTTGAGCTTCATGCGCCTCTAGTTTAACTAAATTTCATGTTAGTTAATTATACAGTTTGACATTTACACAGTGTCCTAACTAGGAACGATATCATAAAGCAACAAGCACTAAAATCGATACTCCCATGTAAATCTGCGACAAGGACAGGACGTTTTGTTTGTCTCAGTTTTTTTATTTTTTTTGGTGTTGTGCTTTGTAGCCCCGCCCACATTTAAATTTCATTGGTCTAAAAAAGCGTCTATTACACATCAAATGTATTCTGAGAAAAATGAGGTGTGTAATACCTAGAAAAAACATTCATCTTAACTGTCACTTGGCTGACGGAGGATGCTTCCATAAGTAAACAATTTATTAACATATACTGTATATAACATAATATATACAAGCAATATCACTCTCGAGTAGACATGAGCTATGGCTGTATATCGGCGCGGCTGTGATTCGGCCATAGGCCAAGTAGGAGTGTCTTTAAAAGCCCTCTTTTGTGCAGAACTACTTCCTCCAAAATAATCATAAAAAATATGTTGTGTCAGTGTAAATATATATATGTGCCCATGGGTGTGTTTGTCTTGTAGATGTCTTAACACCAGCGTCTAGTCCATCCTCAGAAGTGTTTGCGTCCAGCACGGTTCAGAATGAGAACTCTTCTGGTTCTCTGGCCCTCGAGTGCCGCGTCTGCGCCGACCGGGCCTCTGGTTTCCACTATGGAGTGCACGCCTGCGAAGGGTGCAAGGTAAGCTCGCACGCAATGCACACAGTGGAAAATTCTCACACGAGTGCCAAGAGTCAATACCAAAATGCCAACTTTTTCCTGCTTTGCATTAGTTAAGACACTGTGTTACACTTTCATAACCACAAACCTATCCGGGACAGAAAACACTTGAGCGCACACACCAGGGTCAACAGAAAGCACACGAGTTTCTGTAGTATTTTCATAGCTGCTTTTGCAAAAAGACTAAGAGTTCCCCCGAGGCTTGTTCTCCCTTCGTACATGTGAGGTGAAGCGTGTACAAGAGCTATTGCTTCATGCGGTGCATGTCAAATTGATCAGTAGGACTGCACACAACACACCCCAGCTGACTTGAGCCTGGGTCACGGCCGTTCTCATTCCTTTAAAGTTAACTACTACCAGCCCAGTTATTGCACTGTGCCATGTGTTTTTCTCCAGCAAGAGCAGACTTTGACCGTTGGCACCCCTTAGGGTGCAATTAAGACAGGACAATTGCAACGAGGTTTAGTGCGGTTTACCACTCTTTCACGTTGTACTTTGGTGAGACCAATTAAAATATGCTTTATAAATAATTTGTTTTAGTTAATAGTTATAGTTAAGCTTGTTTCAAAATTAAATGCTAATTAAAACTATTTCCGAGAATTTAAAGGAACACTATCAGTATCAGTGTGGACCGACTTAGTTCCTTATTTAGTTCAGGTCACTGGTTTTGAGCTTCATGCGCCTCTAGTTTAACTAAATTTCATGTTAGTTAATTATACAGTTTGACATTTACACAGTGTCCTAACTAGGAACGATATCATAAAGCAACAAGCACTAAAATCGATACTCCCATGTAAATCTGCGACAAGGACAGGACGTTTTGTTTGTCTCAGTTTTTTTATTTTTTTTGGTGTTGTGCTTTGTAGCCCCGCCCACATTTAAATTTCATTGGTCTAAAAAAGCGTCTATTACACATCAAATGTATTCTGAGAAAAATGAGGTGTGTAATACCTAGAAAAAACATTCATCTTAACTGTCACTTGGCTGACGGAGGATGCTTCCATAAGTAAACAATTTATTAACATATACTGTATATAACATAATATATACAAGCAATATCACTCTCGAGTAGACATGAGCTATGGCTGTATATCGGCGCGGCTGTGATTCGGCCATAGGCCAAGTAGGAGTGTCTTTAAAAGCCCTCTTTTGTGCAGAACTACTTCCTTCCGCCACAGATTCAAATCTAAAGTTGACAGTTTAACAGTGTAATATCGCACTCTTATCAGCCAATCAGATTCGAGGACCAGAAAGAACTGCTGTATAAATAATAATACATAATTTGTTTAAAATAACACAAGCTCAGGATATTTTCACGTTGTATTCAATATGTAATAAATCAGAAATACCCCACTCGTGATTTTATTAAGCTTTTACATGCCTTGTAAATGCCAGTTGCCAACAAGTGGCTAAATGCAACTCTTGCTATCTGTTCTAACTTAAACTTTCCAGCTTGTAGATTTTAAAATATATTGAAATATTTCTTGGAGGTTTAGTGGTGGTGATATTAAAGTCATGCAACCGTGATTTGTTAATAGTTTGTTAGTTTGTTTATAACCAGGGATGCACATAAGTTTTTCAGTCTGGTTCTTATGAGAGCACCTTGGAGATTTGGTTTGATGCTCACCCTGAACATAGTGTGACCCATTAAATATAGCAATAAAAAATAATTATAATAATAATAATTAATGAAAATTTGGTTTGATGCTCACCCTGCACATAGTGTGACCCGTTAAATATAGCAATACAAAATAATAATGATGGAGATTTGGATTGATCAGGGCTCTAGACTAACTATTTTTACTAGGAGAACGTCTCGGTTACGTATGGTAACCCTCGTTCCCTGAAGGAGGGAACAGAGATGTGACGTCGGATGACCGACGAATTGGGAATTGGGATCTCGCTTAGAGAGACCAATCTACTTCGAGTGTAAACTAAACGAGCCAATGCACATTGGCATGCGATTATTGCATCCAGCTGCCGCTGATCACAGCGTGAGTATAAGTAGGCAGCAGAT